AAACAGTCATCACTGAAGACATGGTTCTTTATGTTGTAAGTAAGTTCTCGCCGGCAAGGAGGAGGGCGTGGATTGTCTCCGTGTCAGTCAATCACTCCAGTTGTGGAGTTGCCGGTGTAGGCGTAGGAGTTGTCGCCCAAATTCGTACATACGGTTTTCGATTGGCCCTCGAGCTAGCTACTCGAGGTTCTACAAACGAGATTTGGGCCCATGAGTTATCTGCTCAGGGTTTTTCCCTTATCAAATAATTGTCAAGCTTATTTTTTTTTTGTAAGCTTATGGCCTCAGAGCTTCCTTCTCGAAGTTCTGTCTTTTAACAAATTATTGGCCCTCGAGCTAACCGCTTGGGGTTCTGCCACTTTAATAACTATGTGACCCTCGAGCTAACCACTTGAGGTTCTACCACTTAGAACTTGAACATTTTACAAAGTTAAGGCCCTCGACCTGTTTGCTCGAAGTTCTATCTTCTTAATAAGTGTTTAACCCTCGAGCTAACCACTCGAGGTGTTGCCTTGGACCCTCAAGTTTATTTAACCAAGGTTCTACGCCTTGGCCGTAGGCCCTCGAGCTCATCTGCTCGAGGTTCTGTCCATTCAAAAATTCTCAGCCCTCGAGCTAACCACTAAAGGTTCTGCCTCTTAATAAATATTTAAACTTCAAACTTAGAGTTTTACCAAACTTGTCAAGAATAAACTAAACTTTATTGATGAACGAGACGAACTGTTTGATTAAATTTATAAAGTAAACTGAACATGTGAAAGCAAGCTAGTGAAGTTTAAGCGTAGTACTTCTTAAGATGTGTTATATTCCATGGCCTGGGAAGGAGCTTTTCTTGTGGACCCCTTATCTCATAGACTCCTCCCGTAAACACCAGCTTGACCACGTACGACCCCTCTCAATTAGGTTCGAGCTTGTCGATATGCTTGAGCCCATTCGCTTTTCGATACATCAGGTTGCCCATCTGAGACTTGTGAGCTCGGACATTGTTGTCATGAGAAGATTTCATCTTTTGCTTGTATACCACTGCACGGATCTTGTCTTGGTCACGAAGTTTGTCAACTAGGTCCAACGCCTCTTTCTGCAGCTCGACATTCTTGCCATATGTTTGTCTCATTTTTCTTGCGTTTTTATGGTCTTGTTTTGCCTTTCTTTTTCTCCCGTTTTAGGTTTTTCTTTGGT